CTTTTCACTATCATTTACGTTGGTTGCACTAAGCAAGCTCGACTTAAGCTTTTGGAGTCTGATTAAATATATTAACCCCTTTAATGAGGCTTGGCTTATAAGCGGAGATTTCAATATGATTTCTGCTGTTTCTGAGAAAAAAAGGAGAAGCTCCTCCTAATTTTACTCTTATTACTCAGTTTAATGATACTCTGATGGAGGCGAGGCTATTTGATTTGGGTTTTAATGGAAACCCATTTACTTGGCATAGAGGCAAAGTTTTTCAAAGTTTTTGAACGTCTTGATAGATTTGTTGCTAATTCCAATTGGATTAGTTTTTTTTTCTCTTGTTTTTCCTTGCATAAAGTTCAACATTTGTCTATTGGTGATTCTGATCATGCCCCTATCTTGTTGAAGATTATGGATAGCTCTTACACGACTAATTATCAATTCAGATTTTATAATATGCGGACTCTTCATGAATATTATAAGCAATTCCTTCAGAATCATTGGAAGGCTAATGTTGTTAGGTCTTCTGGTTATAGATTGTGGTGTTTACAAAAAAAATTAGCTAAGGCTCTTCGAAAATGGAATTGGGAGGTCTTTCGTAATCTTCATCAGAACATTGAGTCTAATGAAGAAAATGTTAAATCTCTTGAGCTTGATTATGCTAATAACCTTATTGCTTGGGATGTTTTGCTTCAAGGTCAGCAAAAGCTTAGTGAAGCTATTTCTATGGAGGAAAATTTCTTTGCTCAAAAAGCTAAAAAGCTGCCAAGGCTCATTTTTTGGATGGTGACAGAAATACTGCCCATTATCATGCTTGTATTAATAATCGAAAGAAAATCAATTTCATTTCTAAGATTCTTACTGCTGATGGTACTGTACTAACGAATATCAATAATATTGCTTCCAATGGTGTTCAGTATTTTTCCACTGCTTTTAGTAATGATGGGAATTTTTCGATTCATCTGGATAGTTCTCTTTACCATGGTAATAATGTAATTGACAATGCCTTTCTTACTTGTATTCCTACTATTGCGGAAATCAAAGATATAATTGATAATATGGAAGATGGCAAAGCTGCTGGCCCTTATGGTTTCACAGCTGAGTTCTATAAAAGTGGTTGGAGTATTATTCATGTTGATGTTGTTACGGCTATACAAGACTTTTTTAGAGGTATAAATTTGCCAATACATTTTAAAACCTCTAATATTGTTTTGATACCTAAAGTTCAGAATGCTAATACTTGGGATGGCTATCGACCTATTAGCCTGAATACAGTCCTATCCAAAATTATTTCAAAAATTTTGGTGAAAAGATTGCAACCCATTCTAAATAATATTATTTGTCTTAACCAATCCGCTTTCTTAAAGGATACAAATATTTGTGACAATGCTCTTATTATTCAAGAGCTTATAAAGGACATTGATAAAAAGAGTAGAGGGGGGAATACTATTTTCAAGATGGATATCAAAAAAGCTTTTGATGCTATTCGTTGGGACTTCGTTATGAACGTTCTCTATGCTATTGGCTTCAATGCAGCCTTTTGTAAGCTTATCTATCGAACTCTCAGTGATAACTACTACTCCCTGCTTATAAATGGTCACAAGTATGACTTCTTTAAAGCTTATAAAGGCATTAAACAAGGAGATCCTCTATCTCCTTATCTCTTTATTCTCGTCTTTGACTATTTGTCGAGAAGATTGAATGCTTTGTTTACTGATTATCCGAGGTTGAATTTTATTCATAAAGGAAGGCTGAGTATCTCCCACTTATGCTTTGCTGATGATTTGATTATATTTACCAATGCCAATAAGTACTCCATTAAGAAGGTTTGGGCTGAGATTTTGAATTTTCAGAATATGTCTGGTTTGTTTTTTAATACTTCAAAATGCTCCTTTTATTGTTCTAAGAGGATTTCTATTTCGAAGAAGCTTTGGATTATGGATTATACATAATGCAATAAGGCTATGTTGCCTTTTAATTATTTGGGTTTTAATTTGGATAAAGGCAAAAATAGTATTGCCCTGTGTATGAAGCTTTTTGATAAAATCAAACAAAGGATTTTATCTTGGAAAAACAATTTTCTTTCTTTTGGAAGATGTATTACTTTACTTAAAAAGTGTTCATATTTCTCTCACTCTCTACTCTTTACAAATTATGAATGTTCCTTTGGGTATGATTAAAAAGATTGAAAATCTTTTTAATAAATTTCTATGGGAAGGTAATGACAAGTCTAAGATACACTGGACTAGCTGGAAGAAGCTTTGTAAACCTGTTGATAAAGGTGGTCTTGGCTTTCGTAGTTTATCTGATTCTATCACAATAAATTACATGAAATTGTGATATCGATTCAGAAAGAATTGTTCTCTTTGGGCTTACTTAATGCAAGCCAAATTTTATTTTAATAAACATCCTCTGGCTATTACTTATAAAAAAACGATTCTTTTATTTGGCATGAAATGTTAAAAGTAGCAAGGAACACTAAATATCTTATGTATTGGGATATCGGTGAATGTGATGTTTCCTTTTGGTATGATGATTGGATGGGGAAGGGAGCTCTAGTTTATTTTTATGATGGCCCTGTTGCTATTGATGTTAAAGTGAGAGATTTATGGAATGAGAATCGTTGGTGTTTACAAAAGCTTAAACAGATGGTTCATACTGAAGATGCTTATTTCATTAATTTGATTCCTATTAACAGAGATGATAATGATATGGCCAAGATTAAAGGAAGGATGGGAGATTCTGTTTCTAAAAGCTTTGCTAATTCTTTTAATTCTTTCAGGGGTTAGACCTTCGATGGAATTGAAATTCCTGGGTCAAACCTTCCATGTCCTTCTTTATTTGGAGAGTAATGCATAATCTTCTTCCAACGGTCTTATGGTGGCAAAAAAATTTGGTTGGCATTATATTATCTTGAAACTGACTCTTTGATCTTATGGAAGTACTGCAGATTTCAGGAAGATCATCATTGAAGTGTTAATATTCAAATGAAGAGGATTGCAACTTTATCCAAGAATCATACTAAGAGAGAAGGTAATGGAGTTGCTCATTGGGTGGCTACGCTTGGTTTACAGCTGAATGGTGCTTTTCTTTCCAAAGTTGTTCCTTCTGTTTTGTTGCAATTGGCTCTTAAGGATGTTTCTTAATACTTTGGAGTTTTTTGTTGTTTTGTGTTGTTGGGTGTGTGACTTGTATTTTTTCATTTCTTGGGAAAGAGGACTTTTAAGTTTTTTTTTTGTGTGCGTTGTAAGTGGGGTGTAGATAAGTCCTCTTGCCTATTTTTGTAATTTTTTTTTTTTTTGTGATTAATACATAAGGAGCCGAATAATACTCTTTTACCAAAAATTAACTTAGTGTTACATGAATTATCTTCACTAATTCATTTATAAGACTTAATTCTTTCTTATGAACATTAGTAAGATTGTGTAAGCCATAAATATACTTGAATGGATATATTACATTTATAATTTATTATAAGGTAAATTTTAAGAAAATAACATGCATGCATATTAAATTACAAGAAAATTCATAAAATATGCTTAGGTAACTACAATGATCATAGATATTGCTTAATAGTGCAAGTGTTGTACACTTGTAGAGTCATAATATTCATTTTTTTCATTTAAGGATTAATCATGTAACGAGTATATATCATATTTGAATTAATATTTTTTATGAGAATATATTGTATAATATAGAATAAATAGTCATGGTCTAGCATGAAGATATATTTCATTCCTACAATGTGGTGGATTGGTCAATAAGAAGGATAAATCATAATTTATCATTTGCAGAGTGATCTTGTCATATATATATTATGTTTTTATTTTTTAAAAGGAATGACTAAAGGCTATTATACGAGCCTACAACCACCCCTAATGTACCTAACAATTCGAGTACCAACTCCTTAAAGGCAATTGTGTCAAAGGGAATTGGAACCCCTGATCTGAGTCAGCTTATGTCATGGATGCCAACCAACAAACCGTGGTATGTAGCACATAATACATAATATCAACATAAAATAAAATTAAATAATGAGCATAATTTTCAAATGAGATAGAATTAGTAACATAAAAATATTACTCCAACTTAAAAATGTGGCCACCTACGTGAACTTCATTAGATATTATTTTTTACAATTTTACTCAAACTTGGTCTTCTTTAATTTCACACTTATAATAACATGGTAAACATTCATATTAATTACTTTATACATATATTTCTTTTTATTATTATTTGGTCCCCTTTATTTAGTTTACTTGGTCTTTTTTTTTTTCATTTTAACCTGAGTATTTTGAATAATCTCATTTTTTTACTTACTATTATTATTATGAAATTACTAATTTTGACATTGTAATGGCTTTCTTTATTAACTATACTTTTCTTAGAATTTAATATCATTTTATTTTCCCCCTAATAAAATATATACATATATATATATATATATAGATATATATATATATATATATATATATATATAACATTAATTAGTCTATGTTATTGGATAATTGACAACTATGATTTTGAGAATGGCGACGACGGTAGACCGATGCAGTTAATCTAGCTGTGATTGTGATTTGAAGTGTCTACCAAGCACGTTTGGACGATCAACCACCGGACGCCACGTCACTCTCCGATGAGACGTATGACGACGTGACGCCTGGTGGTTGGCCATCCGGAAGGAATATTTTCTCCTACCGAGAGGCTACAAATGAGTGGTGATAGTTGGATGATGACGGCAGATAGGTAGATTTAAAATTGAATATTACCTCAAGTTTCGTGCTCAATCAAATATATTTCTAGGTGACAAAACAATCTTAAATACTTTACTCATATAAAAGCAAAAGCCGACAACTTAGATCACCTTTATTATCTAGTCATAGAGAAAACAGCGAAAATAGAAATAAGATACCTTTTTGGAATTAAAACCCTCGCAAATTGAGAAATCATAAAACTAGCAATATCCACTGCAAACATAAGTTTGCATGGATCTATATTAAAAAGTCTAAAACCTGTTTTTGATGTCAGTTCCATTGATGATGAGGGAAGGGACAATGCGAACAACAGCATCAATTGGTATGGCAAAGTTGACACCAGAAGAAATGCCTGATCCTGCATTTTGATGAACATCAACCATTACAAATCAATTTTTATCACCAACAAAGAACTTTCACAATTTCACAAATATATTTCATTTCTCTTATGGAATGAACATTTTGTTGCTTTGCAATTTTGCAATTGGAATCAGGGGATTTACATACATACCTAGCAATTCTAATGTATTTACACACCTAACATCAATACTTCAATGTTCACTTATACAGCACACCCAAATCAAAATCACATAAAAATGGCACTAATATTAACTCTTCAAAATTAAAAACACGCCTTTTGGCTTTTTCATACATTAAAGTGCCAAAATAGTCCCATGGCTCTTTGTAGGGAAAAAAAATATTCAAAACTGCACATGACTGCAATCATAATACGCCATGTGTACGGTTCGACCCTGTCATGCATTAAACTATTTAGTTTTTTGTATTCAGTGGGGTTGAACGTACACATGACGCATTGTGTTTGGAGTCCTGATGCAGTTTTGGATCAGGACTCTTGATGTAATATTTTTTCCTTTGTTGGGGGCATTTTAATCCTAAACTATATGAAAAGCTCAACTTAATCCCCAAATACTTTCAATATGAGCAGAAATGGTCTATGGAGGGCTATTATCGCTCCAATTTCGTCTAAGAATTAACTTCTCACTTTTACAGATTCAGACGAAAATGACCACATGCAGACAGTTAGGGGACTATTTTAACACTGTACTCTTTATGATGTGATTGTAATACTAGATTGTTATAGAAATAAATATCAATATTTAAGTGTTAGATATATATAAATACATGAGAATTATGTGGAAGGTATGTTAATCCCCCTTTCCATAAGAGGGATTTACATAAACAATTCTTATGTAATTACATTGATGGCTTCTACCCTCACTTGCATTATTTATTAATATCTAGACAAGAATCAAACAATGGAAAGAAGAAGCACCCTTTCGTGTGAATGTTGCTGTGTTAACTCCAATAACATGACCATAAGAGTCAATCAAAGGGCCACCAGAGTTCCCTGCACTTCACATAAACAAAACATAAGATTCTTATATTGAGTTATATATCACTTTGCATATAACAACTTGATTCAATTATTTTTCCCAACCATATATGCCCTTCACTTTTTTTGTAAACAGACAACTAAAGAAAGAGGTTCATCCAAATGTCATGAATTTCAGTAAGAAAATGGCAAATTATTCACAATAATGGCAGGAAATAATTCATAAGAATTAGAAAAAAAACGTAAATGAAAAATCTGATACAAATGTAGGTGCATTTACATACATACCATACAATCCTTAAGTAAATGATACGCTCCAGACCGAAAATCAGCGAGCAAACCCACCATGAAACAGCAAGAGATTGATGGATAACTCAAACGAAGGCTGCTCTTATCAAAAATAAAAGTACACAAAAATGATACAATGGTGATCTATTTTTCGAGAGGTAGATCGGCTCTCTCACAACCCTAGATGTCGCTAGGAACACCACAGGAAGAAAGAAAACGGTACCCAAACAAAAACAAACATGAAAAAATAAACCTTGGGTTATTCCCTTTAATAGAATCATCTCTCAATATTTCAAAAAGTTTCCTTGCAAGCCTTCCCTTCAAATTCCTTTAATTTCTCCTGCTTGAATATGTGGTTAAGGCTCTCTTGGACCCCCTTTGCTCCCTTCCTTTTCTTTCACAGCAACCGGCTTCCTTCCTTTTTTTGTCGCAGCAAACTGCCGCCCTGATTCTTTCTTGTGGAAGTGTCTGGCCCGCTTGGCCGCTTGGCCGCTTGGGCGGTCCGGTTGGAGGATTCTTTCTTGTGGAAGTGTCTGGCCCTCCTGGACCGGTTCACATACAAGCGGTGTAACAATACTCCCCTCTCAAAGATGTGTCTTGTCCTCAAGGTGGAAGAATGAAAATTGCACATGGATCACCTCGTAGGGCTCCCAGGTTGCTTTATAGTCTGGCAACCCTTGCCACTTAACCAATACTTCCTTTGCTCCCCTACTCCTCGTCGCACTTCTTATATCTCTAGCGGCTCCAGAATCACTTCCAAGTCCTTCGTCAGTGTCGGCAATAGTGTAGACGGTGTGATCTCCAATCACACGTCTCAGCTGTGACACATAAAAGACTGGGTGTAATGTAGACAATGATGGTAACCTCAAACGATAAGCAACTACTCCAATGTGTGTTATCACTTCATATAGTCCAAAGTATCACGGTGAAAGTTTCTCGCTCTTCCTAGCCAATGTCTTATGTCGATAAGGCTTCAGTTTCAAAAGGACCATGTCCCCTGATTCAAACTACACATTCTTCTATGCTCATCCGCTTTCTTCTTCATGATTTGTTGAGCTCTCAGCCCCTTACGCTCTGCTGGTATCCTATCCCTCTCCTCCAATTACTGATCGACGTTGGATACTGATGTGGTATTATGCCCGTAATGTATCAACTGAAGTGGATCCCGCTAGACAATATCTTAAAAGGAGTTGTTTGTAATGCGGAGTGGTATGAAGTATTATATCAATATTCGGCCTATATAATCCACTTAGGCCATAGCTTCGGTGTATCAAATACAAAACAATGCAAGTATGTTTCCACACTCGTGTTGAACACCTCCATCTGTCCATCGGTCAAGGGATGATATGCAATGCTTCTTTTAAGGATTGTCCCTTGCAACTGGAATATCTTCTTCCAGAAATGTGTGAGGAATACCTTGTGCCTATCTGATACAATCGATTCCGGCACCCCGTACAAACGGACCACTTTCCAAATAAACATCGCCGCAACCGAGAGTGCAATTTAGGGATGTCGTAAGTGAATGAAATATGCATAGTTACTTAGGCGATCCACGGCCACCATGATCATGGTGAACCCTTCGAACTGTGGAAACTTCTTGATAAAATTCATCGTCACTTCTTCCCAAGCCTTCCCCGATAATGTTGATGGTTGTAGTAACCCTCCTGGTGTTGTAGTCAAGTACTTGTGCCGCTGACACATATCACATTTTGCCACAATGTCCTCCACGTCTTTGTGCATCTCTACCCAATAAAGCTCTATTGCCAGACAACTGTAAGTCTTCTACACCCCTGAGTATCCTCCGATCGCACTGCTCCACACTCATCGTACCACCTTTTATAAAGTTGAATCCTAATTTATCGTTTTGTGAGCATGCCCCGAGAGTCGAAATTAAAAGAGGTGAGAGAGTAAGAACGCACAAAAAGTTTCCCCTCGGAAAGAGAGGAGAGAGCCTGCCTTTATTCCTCTTGGGACCGCCTATTTAAAGGGATCTAATTAGTACAATTAATAGAGATGAGAACCATTATGACAACATCTCATAAATAGAATCAGTGCGTATAATTTGAATTAATGGTTGTCATAATGTTGACAAAAATAACGATTTATAATGTCTTATAAGCTTGAATGTTGTCGGCTGGTTGGCGACCGATCGTGTCGATCGGCCGACTAGAATCTGTCTCTGTTAAGATGGGGTAATCGGTTGGTGTAAATAAGGTCGGTCGTTTTGACAAGAGGTCTGGCCGGTTGGTTTTGCAGAACTCGTCGCTTCGGTCAGGCGGTCGACTGATAGGTCGACCCATTTTGTTGGGCGAGCTGTGGCTTACTTGCTGCTTGGCTCAAGTCTCACAAGGCCAGTGTCTCGTCTGGTTGGTCGGTCTGTTGCCCTGCCTCTCGCAAGGACTTGAGTGGATCTTGTCGCTGCTTGTGCAAAGTATCCAAATAGACTCGTTGTCTGCTTGGCTCAAGTCTCACAAGGCCAGTGTCTCGTCTGTTTGGTCGGTCTGTTGCCCTGGTCGAATCTTCCCTCTCGCAAGGACTTGAGTGGATCTTGTCGCTGCTTGTGCAAAGTATCCAAATAGACTCGCTGTCAGGAAGATTTGCGTCTTACCCTTGGCGGATCTTATTGCTACTGAGTAAGGGACCATCTTCGAAGTTTTAACCTATTCAAAGTTAAGAAACGCAGATTCTCATGTTTGGCGTTGAATTGTCGATCAATCGTTTACTCTAGAGGGAAACTTCATATTCTCAGCCGTTTATTATCTTTGAAGTTTGTTCTAGTAGTTCTGATGGATATACTTATATTACTTACTTTTTAATAGTAAAATACATCTTTCCATGTACAAGTTTATAACACAAAAGTTTTATAAATGCAAATATAAAAGTTGAGATGTTAAATGTATAAAGAATTGTGTGGTACGTACAAAAATTTCTCAAAAAAAATAATTATGCTTCTTAAGTGGAATGAATTTTTGCTCACCAGGTAATATTTATCAGTTATAAAATACATGTAATTTTTATATTTTGCAAATTTATGGAGTAAATGAAATAAATTTGAAGATCACCAGCATTAATAGCTGCATCTGTTTGTATGGCTCCACGAATTGCTCCTCCATTTGGAGAAGGTATCTCCCTTCGTAGACCACTTACTACCTGTGAAAATGAATTATATATCTTAAAGCATAAACAATGCAAGTGTATTTCTATACTCTTTCGAATTATTGTGCTCACCTTTAAATTCATTGTAGCCAATACATTCTATGAATGAAATTTAGAGGTGGAAAAAAAAGACTCAACACAAAAACTCAACCTAAATCCGACTAAAAAAATTTGGGTTTGAGTTGACCCAATTATTTTTTAGATCAGGTTCAAGTCTAGAATCATAATCCATTTAATTTTTTTAGTTGGGTTCAACTAAACCAGCCAACTCAAAATTGATTCACCCGCTAGAAATTGACTCAAAATTTCACCCTAATAGCCGCTATGTCAAATTTAAATGAGTTATATGGCCGGGTTAGGGTTCATCAAGTTGAAAGTTAGTCGAGTTCAAGTTAGGCTTTCTGACCTGTTCAATATTCGGGTTGGGTTTGGGAGCGGTCATTTTCATTTCAAACTCGAAAAGGATTTGGCACCAAAATGAATTTAATAAGTACGATTATATTGAAAGGGATTTATAGATAGAAAATGCATTGATAAAGACAAGCTGATCAAATTGATGTAAGAGGATTCAGAAGGGAAATGAGTACGCTGAACATAACTTGGATAAAAACTACTTATGTGATCAAATTGGCAAGTAAAATGAGTAGACTAAAGATAAGTAGGATAAAATTTCCAGTAACAAATGTGCATGACATAAATTGAACACATCTAAAGAAAATGATTACCCCTGTTGTCAAAGTGTGCTCATATCCAAAAGGATTCCCAATGCATTGATAAAGACAAGCTGATCAAATTGATGTAAGAGGATTCAGAAGGGAAATGAGTACGCTGAACATAACTTGGATAAAAACTACTTATGTGATCAAATTGGCAAGTAAAATGAGTAGACTAAAGATAAGTAGGATAAAATTTCCAGTAACAAATGTGCATGACATAAATTGAACACATCTAAAGAAAATGATTACCCCTGTTGTCAAAGTGTGCTCATATCCAAAAGGATTCCCAATGGCAAAACAGCTCTGACCCACTCGCAGATCTTGCGACGTACCAATCTGTGCCGGTCTTAGCTTGTCCCTATCAATATCAATCTGCACCCTTATAAAAAGTAGTAAGCATTTGTAATATTGAAATTTTTATGAACTAAGATCAAAAAGTGAAGTAAGATGTACATACACATCACTCAATCCTATGTATTTACACATCTAACATCTAAGCTTCAATTTTTACATGCATAGCACCCTACTAATGCACTCAAAATGAAAATTTTGGGCGGTATAAATGTAAAAAAGCACAGTTTAGATGTAGATACATAGAAATTGGTCGGTATGCATGTAAATGCCCTAGAATTATATAAAGTTCAAAACCTTTAGAACAGCAAGATCATAAGAAGGATCAAAGCCCACAAGCCTTCCTTCCTTTGCAAAGGTTCTCCCATTTGAACCTTCAAGAAAAACTTGAAAAGAAAACCTATCATCATAACCACACAAATAAACCATTTGAACCCTAATGGCCTGTTTGGGATCACTTTTATTTTTTAATTTTCTGTTTATTTTGTTTTTTTAATGTATATTTTGATTTAAAACTGAACATATTTGACTGTTTGATTAAAGTATGATGATTTTTACAAATAATTAAAAGTTATTTTTGAGTGTTTTCAAAAACTTAGATAAAAAAAATAAAAACATTAAAAAAAACATCCTAAAAAACATGTTTTTAAAAACAAAAGAAAAACATAAAAAAAAGAAGAAATCCCAAACAAACCTTAAATAATAATCATTCTTACCAACCCCGCAACGATATCGACCAGTTGTATCTGTGGCCAATTTAGCTACAACATGATAATTTGTAACCTAAATCACCCAATAACAAGATACAAAATTAGAAATTTTACTCAAAATAAAAGACGGGATATTTAAATACACACCACCCAATTTCTATCTATTTACAGATCTAACACCTAAACTTTATTTTTTTTTTACATTTATACCACACAAATCATTCATATTACATAAAAAATAATGCTATTTAACTTTTTAAATTGAATCATCGTAAATTAAAGTTCGAGTGTTAGATATGTAAATACATAGGAATCGAGTGACAGTACATGGATATTCCAAAAAAAAAAAAAGAACGTGGGGAAACCAATTCTTACAATATGCCCAACTTCATCCCAAACGAACCCAGAGCCTGTTCCCTCGACCTTTGCATCTCCTAAATCCTCATCTTCTCCTTCAACCGAACCATTGATGTTGTTTCCCTTGTTCTTCCCAGCTTTCTCTTGCACCTCCAAATACTTTATGTAGACCACAGCAGGGGAGGACTCCTAAAGAAAAAGCCATCTACTTAAAGGATCCTCTTAAGGATGTGTTTGGTTTGAAATAATTATAAGAAAGGAAATGCAAGATAAGTCAAAATAGGACAAAACAAGAGAATCTAAAATTTTGATTGGACAAAATTTTTTGCGAAAAAGGTACAGAGTGATATCAAGCCCCCATCCAATCATTGACCTTCTATTTGTAGGTGTGGTACAACGTCTGTAGCATAGAAAGGGATGCATGATAAATTTATAAGAAAACTACTTGAAAAAGACTCAGCATATCTGGGTATGTCACAACTAATTCATGTTGAGTGCTACCGAATTGATAATGAGAACCCATATGTAAATTTCGAAGAGTATTTCGAGTGCTACCGAATTGATATATCTAATACTGCTAATGAGAACCCATATGTAAATTTCGAAGAGTATTTTGAGACGAGGAACCAGGTTCTTCTGATGAATAGACTAGGCACCCTTAGTAACAAATTCAAAAATACAATAGTCAGAACCCGATAAGGCGAGCTGATGAAATCCAAACCTAAGGCAAATTGAGGCCTTTAGTTGAGTACCAAGTTAATTCACAGTTATAATTTATTGAACTAGGTTCAGGATATGCAAATACTTGATCAATCTAAATTAAATGGATGTGGGTGTACATTCAGTTCCCTAATTCACATGTCCATTCTAGACAGCAAAGAAGATTAGGAGAATGAATTTTGACAACCCAATTTCTCATGAGTAATATGTATTTGGTTCAAATGCTAACTTTTCCAAAGGTTTATCAATGATATGTAGCAAACGCATCATCAACTCAAACCTCTAAAAATAAATATTGAGTTCTTTGTAAAGGTATACGTTGATTGTCTTTTGATCACACAGGTCTTTTACTTGTTCATCTTTAACTGTTGAGATCTTTGTAAGATGGACAAAAATCTAAGGAATCCAAGGAATGCAAACAGTCTGAGAGAATCTTAATTTGTAGGGCTTCCGTGATTGAAGAATGTGTACTTGGAAGAAACAAAAAGTGGTAAAAAATAAGTCGGTTTCAAAGGAGGTTCGTCAGTCAGAGAAACGACAACTATTATCTTAAAAGTTATTGTTGAGGCAAGTTTTCCTGTTGTGTGTTGTGTTTGTGGACACAAAGCACCAGCAAGCCAACTGAGAGGGGGCGCTTTTGCCCCCATTTGGGCGCTGAAGAATCCATGGTATGGGCATTGTCTGTGAAGGGTGCGCTTTTGCGCCCATGTTTGGGCGCAAACAAAGAAGCTGGCTCTTTTGCGCCGGGCTTGGGTGCTCAAGCACCTAAATAACTGGGCGCGGCTTTGTTGCTTCCCAAGAGACGGGCACTTTTGCATCGGGTCCGGGTGTTTTTTGCACCCGGTGCAGTTACCACGATTTTTTGGTTTTAAAAGCAGAAATTTGAACGGCGTAATGTGTGTGTTGGTGTAGGTTTTCCTTTGGTGTTCTTTAGCAAATTCCCGGTGAAGAAGAAAAAAAGTTGGAGAGAAGAATTTATGGGATTTTGGCGTGTGCTTTTTGCGTCGGATCGAAGAAGAAATATTGTGGAGCATGTCCTATAAGTTTCCTTATGTTTAGAGAGGAAACTGGTGTGAGTTCACTGTAAAGACTCTCTGAATTTTCATAGTGAATTTCTTAGTGGTGTGGCTCCGTGGTTTTTTCCCGTTCTCAGATTTTTCCATGCAAAATTCTCGTATACTTTTTCGGTTGCTTTGATTGTGTTTTATGTTCAATTTTTGTTTGATTTTTTCAGATTGGAGTGATCCTGTTATTCCATTGTGTGGTTTAATTTCTAATTGATCCCAAGCCACTGTAAAGTTGAGAGTTGTTTGGTATATTTCCTATCATTGTGAGCATAGAAGCAGTTATTGTTAGAAGCTTTAGCCCCTCAACAATCATTATAGAAGATTTCACTTATTTTAAACTTGCAATAGAAGTGAGAGTTTTCTTCTGAGAGGTGGATAAGAAGCAATTTTAAATCTTCAAGGTCTTCCTTAGTAGCTAAGTTAAACAAATTTCAGGAAGTAGAAATCAAACCTCCTTAAATTAAGCTAGTGGCTTACAAGTAGGTTATCAATTTTGAAAGATCAATCAAGAAGATCTCCCCATTGGGTCTAAAACAACTTCTACACAGAAAAGGACATCCAAAGAGGTAATCAGTAGTGTAGATATCACAATAAAAAAGATAGTCTAGGAAGGATCTTTCCAATCAATACAACTGAGGTTTTCAAGGAGGGAATCCTTGATGAGAAGGTTACTGGCGATGGTAGTGAAAGGAATTATGCTCCATAAGTTGCAAAGTTTGGTGATAAAGAGAGCCCTAAGGATTTTGCTGAAAGAGTGGGTTCTGAGCAACAGATCCTATGACAAGATCTTCTATAAAAGCCAAAGATGAGGATCCTAGAGGAAAAATTTGAAGAATTGCTTATAGAGATTGTCTTAATGAAGAAGAGAACAACTCTTCAAACCATGTTTGATTCACAACTAAAGATGGGCAAATTAAGATTGGAGTGTTGAAGTAATTGCCCTGTCATTCTTCCTGACAAGTTTAAAGGAAAATTAAGGCAAATTCGATAAGATGAATTAAAGGCTTATTGTAATGAAATTTTTTTTGCAACTTCAATGGTGAATTAATTTTTTGTTGGTGTTGAGTTATATTATGCTAATTACTCTCAAGCGGCAAGAAATGTTACAAGATCGTACCAGACCAAATCCCAGTAGCTAATTAGGTTGTGTTGGTTTATAGTTGTATGGTGATTTCAATAATGCACTGTTTGTTTGAGTCGTCCTAGAAATTGATGTTTTGATTTACCCCGCATTGTGAGAAAAATTATGTTTTTCATTCTCTTTTATTTTTCCTTAAGAATTAGTGTGTGATAGAACTTCTTGCATGATGAAATAAGAGATTATTGTCAAGCATGCTTGTAATTTTGATTTAAGTTTAGATTTATTCCTTATATTGGCTTTGCTTGTGCCTTGAAATTTGTATGTATGAAGTCAGGCATTATTATGAAGTTGATAATCGCCATGATTTGGATTTTGCCACAGGTTAAACTTCACTTATTTAAATTAAGGTTTATAATAGAGTTTGTAAACAGCCAAGAAGTTGGTCCAAGTTCAACCTTCATTGGAAGTTAGTTCTCACTAACGTTAAGCAAGTCAAAGGCAGTTCGTTTATTGCATTTCTGGAGTTATCATATAATGATTGCAATAATATCATGAAGATAACTTGATTTGATATATATTATGCTGAAATTTATACGTCGAGTGACTTGAGGCAATTAAGATAGCCACAATTCAGTCCATAAATAACCCTTTATTTTACAATTTCTCTTCATTATGATCACAAGTCCTCTGATTCTTCTGTTCTTCCTGTGTTTTCTTGTGTAATTAATATTGGTGCTAAAGCTATACAGATGGAGAGTTTCTTAACTCTCTTTCCAAAAAATCAATTCCACCTTAATTTTTAACCTCCATCATTCTCTAAAATTGTCAAAATCTTCAACTATTACGGAATCATCATGAGTCAAGTGACTCAAAATACTTTCATGAGTATCTTATCTTTCTGTCTCTGAGAATAAAAGGCAAAATAAAGCATCAATTAATTTTGTTAAGGAAATTTCCATTTCTTCAAATTACATTAAGATCATCGGGTTAGAAAATAAAATAAGGTTTAGATGAAAAAATTTTCATGGTTAACTCGAGCAAGGGGTAGCTGAGTAAGACTTTGCTACAAAGATTTTCAAGTGTAAGCTTCTTCCACCCCATCTCCTGATACTTGGACTACCAAAACTATACCACCAAGAAGATGATTAATGTAACAATAAACATCAATCATGAGAAACAAAATTTGTATTTTAAATTTGTAATTGAATTTTCTATTTAGCTTTATGTAATTCTTTTTAACTCAATATACCTTCTTTATATTGCCTGACTCAAAATTCCTCATGACATTTCATTCGATGTTGTTGTGGGTCTTGGATGGATGTGCCTCAGGAAGACTTTTTTGACAATGTTAAGAGGTTGAAAGAAAAAGCACCAAAATTATTTGGGTGCTTTTCCTGACCAAAAACTTCAAACCATATCTCGTAACCCTCCCTTATAACCTCCTCCAACGGAATCTATGCCTTAAGAACTCTCCAAGCCAAAACCCTAGAGGTAAAATTCTGAGCATAAAATTTCCCCATTCACTTATGGGTCTTCCACACATCCTTAGCCACCCACCAGAACAACAATCAAAAGCCTTGAATCCCCACCTCTGAGGCTAGGTTAACATTGATATTAGAGTCAAAACCTTGACTCTAGTAATTTCAACATAAGGATCTTTTAGAACTTCAACCTTTGACATATATGCAATTAGTAGATCAAGCATCACTAAAGAATAATCATTTATCTTAGGCTTAACTAATTTCTTTTGTTTGTAAAAAAAAAAGTATTATATGTTTGGTGGCAAACCTATGATATTATGTATTATCTCTAATTAGTTGCCTTCACCAACAAGAAATCCTTTTTTTATATGTAAGAACCTATCCTCTTGCCCTGTATTGTGCAAGAAATCTTTTGTAAGAGATTAATCCACACACAAATCAACAACCCTTGAGTAGTGCTTTGCATGTGGAACACTCCCTTATAAAGAATTTCACTCGATATAGGTAGAGTCAAGAAATGTAAGCTCTTACTTCAAAAGAGGCTAAGCTTGTAGGCGGAGGAAACTAGTCTTAGCCAAAACACAATAGGCCAAAGGATGGGAGTCAGCCAAGGGCTTTAGGTTAGACCAACCCTATGACTATCCCTTAGAATTTTACCTTTAGAGTTGTGAAAATGAGGGGGATTTAGAGTATGGATCCTCTTGAAAGTTGTAAGGGAATGTTAAGGTATGTCATCTAATACTTTTGCTCCAACAAATTTTGGAATTTTTAGTGGAGGGCTAAACTTAGGTCAAAGTGTTCATTTCGAGCTGGTTTTGATCTAGACTTGGAATATTGGTT